CAGAATCTGCGACTTCTCAGTTAGGAGATTTAATCCGTCAATGCTGAGGAGTGGGGCGGTACCGTTGGCTGGGAGACCGCAGACGGCCTTGAGTGCTGCAAATACATTCTTCGATTCGTTCTGGTCTGTATAGGTAGGGATTTCTTCATCCTTGCAAGCCATACAGGAGTCATGCATTTCCCGCAACTGTGGCTACATATTACGGCGCAACCGAGAGACTTTAAAGTACAATCCTGTAGGTATTTATAATCATTAAAGCGTGGTTAATCCATTAGATACATTGGTGTTGAAGCAGTTTAACCATATTTTCTCTTTTCATTTAACATAATTTTCCGGAGAAATTAAAGAAAGTGTTCCGTTTTAAAATAATCAACCGACCCTACCAATCGAATATCGGTTATAGGAGAGGGAGATTGACAAAGTCAATAAAGATGTTCAACTGAATTCATCATTACTAGCGAACATGCGAGTCCCAGGAAGTAATTGAGAAGAAGACGACTCGGTCGCTGGGGTAATACTTTTATTCGCCTGCTTCGAGATCCGTCGTGGATTCGTCATCAGAGACATAGTCGTAGAACAGTAGCAGATACGGGTAGCGTATGCACAGGAGTTTGCAGTATTTATAGGATACAGTCATTACTGCAAATATACAACGAAAATTAACGGTAATTGCCTTCATGTGTGTTGATAGTTTGTTGAACGGTATGCGGGCTCTGACCTGCCGAAAACGCGGCAGAAGTGCGGCGAAATGATGCCAATTCTCAAGTTGCGGATCATTCGACAGACCCGCCCACACGTTCAAATTTGATGAGAGAGAAATTCTCGCGAGAGGTGACAATCAGGTGAGTCGAGAATTACTCGAGTCATGGTTCACAGGTCCTCAATCCATAGACAAGTGCAACGATTTGTCCAATCCATATTCGGTACTGAGACTCAATTTGGCCAAAGCAAATTGCCACTTCGGGAACGGACAGACCGCCACGTCATCCTACACCAACACAAGAGGGCCAGATTTTTATAACGATGAGTTCTGCGTTGCCAGTGTTGTAACGGTGGCATCTAAACGCGTGTCACCGTCGAATTACGCCCTGTTGAAATCCCCAAGGAAGAACACA